TACGCAAGGAAGCAGCAGCCAGAGGTGATTCAACAGCAATCAGGCTTCCTCTTAACTGAGGAGGTTTGGAAGTGTCTGCAGAGACGGTGCTCCAGAGACAGAATGGGACTCCAACACCTCCTGCTCCTTTCCCAGTTTCGCCAGTCATCTCCTGTTAGATGCCAGGTGCTTTACACCCACGGCTTCCTTCCCCACTCCTCGTCTAATAATGTTTGCATTTTCAACACTGGGGTGGGGACCCTTGCCTGACTGTTAGCGATGAGCACAAAGTAGCACCGACTTCAGCTACAGTCTGAGCATTACCTTGGTATTAGTTTCACTCAAAAAATACCTGCAAGACATTACTTAAATTGCAAAGTCAAGATCCCAAAGCAAGCTTAGGGAATTACATCGTTATTCATACTTACGGAATAAAGACCCATCTTTAATAGCATTACCACTTTTCATGGTCTCATTTGCTGTGTAAAAATGGACCATTAACTGTACACTTAATGTATTATGCATTTCTTACAGTGTTTTAGTTGCATCTTGCTCTGAATAGAGTTATTTCCCTCACCTTCCCGCTCCTCAAACCAATAATGGAAGGTCCTACACATACCCTCTTCCATTAAAGACCTGCTACTCACATTCAGAGCAGCTCCACCTTATGAATCAAATTACATGGGTTCTACTAAAAAAACCACAGTACACAGCCATATTATTAAAATACATCACACAGCATACATAAATCGGAAACAAACTATTGGGGTTTTTACTGCAATCTGAATAGTAGCTTTGTTGAAATCTCTTGAGCATTTGCAGCTTTATTCCCAGCTGTTTTCTACAGCGTTTCTTTTGAGTAGCCTTTAGCTCTCAGTTCACTAGATATTGGGTAACTGTCCGTCCACAAAGTTCAGATGAAGCAACCCACTTCAAAAATTAATTCAGACTATAGTGGCTCTGTAGGTGGAGCTTTACAGAGCTCCCACTAAAATTCCCTAAGATTTGTGCATCCAACCACTGAATGCTTTTCAGAACTCCAGCTACAGCTTAAAAACACCAAACACTATATGGTATTAATTCTACAACAACTATTAATATTCTATTTTGAAATACTTTACAGGGGTGACCCAAAATCAGCTTTGCTCTATATTGGTATCAAAGTATCTTCAGTTAATACCATGAAATTTCATGCTAGTCCCAAGGGTTTCTTTTTAATTCTTTACCTGTTTAATTAAATAGGAGATGTGGAATTATACCTCTTTTTCATAACTCACCACAAAAGCTCAGATCCAAAACAGCATGCACTTGTTCAGAATCTATTCTCCAGCTTATTTTCACCATGAATAGAAGCAGAATATCATGTGGCTCGTGTAGATCACACATTCAGTAACTAAAAGCTAGAATAAGTATGTAAGGTCTCCTAAGTTCTCTTTTTAAGGCCATTCATGAGCTATTTGTCTGTCACAGGTTATCACTCACAACTCCGCTTCTTAGCTGAACTTGACTCCAGTAAAAGGTGGAATTGGCCCCATAATTTTAGAACTGAAGTCACAAACCTCAGTAGGTGAAGGGAGTGCTATTCACTTCTACATTTGAAATTGAAAATCTACACATCACACTGCCAGGATCTAGTTTTCTATGACAGCTGCCTAAAGAAAATAATCAAGAAATAAACTAGGACGCTTCAAATAAAAGACTTACAACACAAAATGCCAACAACACATAGTACCAGAAATACACTAGCCTAAATCAACCACAGGTAGCTTACACAAAGGGTCAGGCGCTTGCAGAGCAAGGCACGAAATGCTACATACAAGGGGCCTGGCTGCACCACCTGGACTGTCTTCTAATGCCTACCCCTCCTTCTAGCAAACTCAAAAATAGAAGAAAAAAAAGGTAAACATGTTCAATCTGCCATCTCCACACACACTTCAGCATTACTGTTTTTATTCAACTGACACCCATTTAATCTTGACCAGCCTGTCAGTCAGACTCTATAAACAGGACAAGTTTCATTATTTTCATTGCCTGTTTGGATGCATTTCAAGAAACGTCAGCACTTCGTGGGCATCGTTACAGCTTTATTGTTGCACTCAGATCATAAAGAGGCAGTTATAAAGGCCACCGAAATTCAATTATGCAGATGAGATGTAACAGTAACTATAAAAGCTGTTGTACATTTCCTATCTGTGATGAGCAGCCTATTTAGGAATGAAACGTCTTCCTTGATGATTAGCTCTCACTTTGGAACAGAGATCTCCACCATACAGCACTTCACTCAAGAACTGGTGTGTACGAACGTGTGTGAACCATCTCCGGGCGGCAACATCCTTGGGATATGACAGGATTTAATATCACAGCAGAGGAACAGTAAATACAATGACAACAGGATTTCTGCCATAATATTAAGGAATGAGGGAAGGAAGCTGGTTTATTTATGATCAGTTCACTAGTAGATACTGCTAGTAAATCCTTACAAGGTGATCAAAATACCATGACTGCAGTAAGACCAAACACCAGCTGGTACTTCAGTTGTCAGTAACGGAAGATGTGAAATAACTAGTTAAGTTTATGCCCCACCCTCTGTAACGTCAAAACTACAGGAGAGTTTTTACCTTTTCTTAAAAAAAAAATTAATACAAAAAATCCAAATACAACTATGGGTATGCAAAACATTTTCACTTAGGTAAATATATTAAGACCTAACCAATACTGAAAACATTCACTGTGGCTGTCCTACCATCCTATTGATATCATTGCTGCTGTAAGGTGGACTAAGAATTCACCTCTTTAATCCTGGTGCAACGATCAGACTGCAGTGTGTATCATCAGAATGAAGATGTGCCTGCAAAAACACCCAATGAACAGTAACTTCTGCATCATTGTAACGGATTTTCCCTATTCATTAAAATTCAGGGGAAACTTTGTTATGGAGAGGAGAACATGTTCAAGGAATTATATATCACATGAGGAAATAAGCAGGGAGTTCTTGCCAAAGAATCTTACTCTACCAGAAGTATTAATTTGACTAGACAACTACATAAAATACTTACTACTGGATTAGTAGTGAATATGCTAAGAAATAGGCTACTGTAATACTAGTAGTCTTAACGATGTTACATCATCCCACCAACTGTCACACTAACCCAGATACAGATGCTTCCAGCTCCACTACAAGAGGCAGAGTGTGTATCTTGGTGGTGGAATACAACCTCCCAAAATGTTCAGAGCCAGAAGTCTTTACACATATTTTTTAAATTAGACTATTTCCCAAGTTCAAAGCCCATAAAATTAGAACATCATAATACCAGAAAAAGTTGAAATGGTGTAATTTTAATTAAAATAGTTTAAATTTATTAACTGTGTCCACAATTTAAAAAAAAATAAACTCTAAGACTAACTCTGAAGCTCAAATTGGTACAAAGTTGTTTCAGTGAACTGGGTGTAGACAACTAAAGAATGCAAGCATACTTAATTCCTTCTAGATGTACATCGTTTCATTTTTCCTGGTACATCTGGTTTCCATACAAAAGGCAAGTTTCCCACAAGTTTTTAAAAAGTTTACTTTATTGGTTACAGTTATATAAAATGTGTCATGATAGTTCCATCTAGCTGGTCATTAAGTGCTTGCAACACCACAGAGACTATTTAACACAGCTGAACTTACACGAAGTGTTGCATGCTGGAGGAGAAAAAATCCCTTTTCAGTTGCTTACCTGCATTTACGGTATCTTCAGCCTGGGTACAATGTCCAAAAGCAACGACAACCCCACTTTTATGTCAAATTGTAATTTTTAATGTTTGCATTAGAATAGTCTTTATATCACTCTCCAGTAAAAGAAACAATTTAACTAACAGCAAACTTTAATACAGGAACATGCTCCAAGATTAACAACCAAAAATGAAAACAAAATGAAATTAATGTAGAATGTAAATCACATATAGTACAATTGAAGTGTCCAAAACAATTTAAATAATTTTAAATATTTTATTTTTTAAAACTTGCTACAAATGCTTTGTACAATATTTCAACATAAAATACCCATAACAGAAATGTAACAAAATGGGAATGATAGTGAAAGTGAAAGTTAAAGTGGCACAAATTCACCAAACAAGTATTAAACTACAAATTTTAAGAGGTAGATTACTTTTTAAGTCAAGAACAAAAAATAAAAGGGGTGGCTGTATAAAGAAACTAGTCGCTTACCATCAATTCTGTCATAAACCTTGAAACACATGATAAACAGTATTTCCATAAAAAGCTGTCATGAACAACAGACCAGTTTGCTGTCTTAAGTTATTAGACAGAGGTGTATGACCTTTTAGAGTAATTATATATATTTAACTTTCAAAATATACAGGTATGTAGTCCTGGTCTAGCCTTCTTATCGATAAAAAGATACACTGCATTCATTATATATGGTATTTAGAAATTGATATCAATATTTCATTGCTATATAAAGTTTCATTTGCATGTATAAATAGCAATCTGGAAAATCCATAAAACATCCAAATCAGGCTTTTTCCCATTGTATGCTGGACATCTAAAAGACTCAGAAAGTGAGGAGAAGGTGGGAAGAAAAGGAAATTCTGTTGTGCTAGGCTGGCCTCTACTGATTCGTTTAGACAAAAGGCTTTAATAGACATAATACATGACAAAAATACTTTGAGTGCAGCAACATTTGTCGTCCCTGAATCTACACTGAATTACTGACAAAATCAAGGAACCTGCTTTGACAAGTATACAACGGAACTCCCTGTATGCCATTCAGGTAGGTACGAACAAAACCAGGATCGAAGCAAACAGGAGAACAAAAGGTTTGGTTTAGTTAATCCCACTACTTTTCATGGTTTCATGTGGGTTTTGTTTTGTTTTTAATAGTACCCTTCTCTTATCTGAATCATCCTGTAGCCCAGCATGCGTGTCAGGCACGGAATGAGAAAATCTATGCCTGACAGTGAATATTAGCAAGAAGCCTGCAGGCAATTTTATGATTGTGAGTCAGCTTCAGCTGGTTTCGCAAGCTTGGTGGATTTCACATCCATTGTCGTAGTGCTTATCCTAAGTGGAGCATGCAACAGCTCTACCATGTCATTAAGGGATTTTTTTGTTTGTTTTGTTTTTACAGGAGATTCCTAGAAAATAAAAAACAAAAACTGAAGATAAATGACAAAACAAACTATTTGTGAACGGAGTATGTTTACACAGAAAAACTGAAAGGTGAAAAACAAATCTGGAGACAAATATTACATGAAGCAAGTCTTGAAAAAAATATTCAGAATTAAGATTTCCTGAGGGGAAAGAAAAACCAAACACCACACCAGTGCCTACACAGAGTAGAAAAAAAGTTAGCCTATGCTGACAATTCATGTATGAAGGCAAAAAAGATTCTTCATATTATATACTTGATATAAAAAAAAGTTGACAACGTAGATTTATGAACATTATTTTGGAAACAAAAAGCAAGAATTCTTCTAGTATAACTACTCAGTAAACCAGTAAAGGCTGCAAGCTACTGAAGTCAATTACCCGTATTTGAGAAAGGGAGGGAAATCTTACCCCTAGGCAAACTGTTATTTACACCAAATACTCGTAAACAATTTCCATATGCACAGATTTCCAAGTACTCAGTTATTTTGCTTAAGGTCAAAGTGATTAATTTAGATGGAAAGATGTGTCATTCTGGCTTCAAATTTGACTGATCTGTTCTGGCACCATGTAAGACACAGTTTCACACATAACACTAAAAGAGCAGCCGATGAGAATTACTTAACATGAAGATGTTTATGCCCCAAGAGGACAGGTCTGGTAGAGAGTTCTTGCTCCTTAGAGGCATTTTTTACACCATTAGTCTCCAAATTCCAGTAACATTTTTCTCATGAACACATCCCAATTTGGGTATTGACTATTTTAAGACAAATTCCCCTCCAGCACGTTGAAATAACTCAGTTATATTGAACCTCTACTTTGCAAATTATTTCCTCAAAATTTTCACCTAGGAGGTCGTCACCATAAGACGCACAAGCTGCAACCAGTTTGGATTCTGACACTTCTTGGCAAGTTCTACTAGGGGACACTTCTTCTGAAGGAGGCAGCCAGTTCCTCCCCTCCTCCACTATCAATTACTTTGATAAAAAAATACTATCTTCAGCCATAACTCCAGCATTAATCACAGCCATGCACTGCAATTAGCAAAACCAGAAGAACTCGTAATTACCAGTGAGCTTTGTGAAAGTTACTCAACAAATCAGATATGTAGTTCCAAGAATAATGGGGCAGGAGCACGCTAATAAAAGTCAGAAACAGACTGCGAAATACCCTATTGATTTGAGAGACTATATGAAGACGTAAATCGGGACGCAGGCACATAGATTAAGATTTTATTTCTTTATTGAAGTATTACCCTTTCTTGTGATTAAAATGCTTCTCAAAAAGAAATAGAACTTTAATTATAAAATGTGTTTATATTGAAACATAAGAGCATGATACCTCTAACAAATTTACACGTTCATGTAACTTTTCTTACATGTCTATTTCCCTTATATTAACGATTTAATGATCTGACTCAGTATGCACATACATTTTTGAAGTATTTGGTCATGGTTTTCTTTTTTTACGTGATATGCAGAGAATGCTTTTTATTAAAAATCAACAGTGCAAGTTGTTTTAGTGAGTGAAAAATGCAGTCACAATTTTTAGCTTAGCAAACCGCCATAAACTAAATCAGGAATTATTTCGGGCCACCATATACGTTAGATACCAAATACAAGGTCATTGTCTCCAAGAACTTTTAAGTTTAATGACGTTAGGTTTATTTGCATTCAAGTACTGACATTTTTTTCCAGAGTTTTCAATTCAGTTTATAATTAAAGACATTCTCTATACAATGTATTATTTCATGACAACATGACAAAATGCATCAAGTATGTACATCACACCTCAGCATGACTGAGCTACTTAACCATGTTTCAGGAAATGCAACCTTTTATTTAAGTATGAGAAACTCAAAAAAGACCAAGAAAATTGGCAAAACAGCAAGCAACATGTTCCTGTGTTGTTTCAACTTCAAGTTAAATGCTTACCTGAAATCTTTTAGTTCTGGCTTTGTACTGCTTTCATCTCTTTTGCTTTCTGCTGCCTCTGCATTTGCTGCCTGCTGCAGGCTTCGTGTAATAGGTCCTCCAATCCTCTCTCTAGATTTTACAGCGAATCTGTCTGCCTTTTTCTTACTTGCCACAGCAGACTTACTTGGCAAAACAGCTTTATTACTCCTTTGTATTCTGACGTGCAATTTCCGGGGCGCTTTGCTTGCAATTCCAGAGGAACTGCTCTTAGCTACCACCTTAGTTTTTTTCCCATCAACATGGGACATTTTGGATACTCTTACAGGACTAGAGTTCCTCAATGATGAAGAAGAATTTGGCTTTTTAGATCGAATGGGAGGTACAAATCTAACATTCTGTTTTGATTTGAAGGATGCAGAGGGAAGCTGGATTTGTGCAGGGCCTGAGGTTCGTGCTCGTGTCTTGCCCAAATGAGGTTGCATGCTTTGCATTTTGATTTCTGCATCTGCTGTTCGCCTACGCTGGCTGGTGCCTTTTTCACTGCTTGCAGGTGAAGAAGAACTTGCACTTTTTTTGGAAGGATTCTTTTTAGAGGAGGGAGAGATGGGTTTTTTGGGACAGCTATATGACGCGTGCTTATTCAGACTTCCAATATAAGTAAACTCTCTATTGCAATAGGGGCAGATGTGAGAGTCTGACTCAGATGGATTATTTTTCAATTCTGCCTTCTGCTGGGCAGATCTCTTTTTTTGCAAGATAGCTTTCTGGACAAGCTGGTTTTTCTTTTTCAATGCACTTATTTTTAGTTTATTTGAGGACATTTTGCTAATCTCAACATTGAAATTGAGTCTTTTAGGCTGCCCCATTCGTCTGAAGGCATTCTTTCCAGGGCCAGCTATAACCACCATGCCATTCTTGGGCTGCACTGTCTGTTTCAGCGGTACTGGATTTTTTTTAGGTGTGTATCTCTTTTTGTCACTGGCAGATGCACAGGCCAGTATGTGTTTGTGTAACTCGGGCATGTTATCAACACTTTTCCCACATTTTGTGCATCGAATGGCAGTAGTAAAAGTCTGTGGAATATTGTGGGTAGTGAAGTTTGTTGCAGTAACTCCGATACCCATAGGATTACGATGGTGATACTGAAATGGAGGTGGCTTAAAGCTTGGGTAGTGTTGATTGAGGCCCATACGCACATCTGGATCTTTAGATTTTACTCCAGATGCCATTATTTTTATAGTAGTATAAAGCTCTTCAGAGGAATCATTTAGATCCTCATCCTCCTCCTCTTTAGAAAGTTCCAAAGAATCTTCTGGCAGGCTCTGCATGTGCTCCATGTTCGCCTTACTGGGGTCAGTAAAATTCTGGGGTCTTAAAGTCCCACTTTCAAACTCATGATGTGTGCACTCTTTGTCCGGATGGAGATCCCGCTGATGCTGTTGCAAATTGCACAAAAAAGCAAATTCCTTTTTACAGACTGAGCAAACAAAGATATTTCCTACTCCATGAAGCAGAAAGCGATGTTCCGACAAGTCTGTTTTATCCCTAAAAAGCTGTACACAGAATTCACATTTGAAGGGCCATTCCTCAGCATGAATGGATAAATGCTTCGTCAGGTCTTTAATAGAAAGAAAAGGTGATTCACAGACATTGCACACAAAGCTTTTATTGAATGTTTCCTGCACTACTCCTGATTCACTTGAAATATGAGGATCTTCTCTTGCTTTCTGTTGTTCATTTTCAGCTTCTTCCTGTTTTATTATTGGGAGAGTGTTTTCAAGATTATCAGCAGAGGAAACTACAGAAGAAACTACAGAAAGAGGAGGTGGAGATGGAGATGACGAAGATGAGGAGAAAGAGGAGGAAGATGAGGAGGAAGACGAGGAAGAGAGTGTAGGTGGACCAGGTGAAGCAGCAGAAATGAGAGGTTCACCAGAAGGAACAGGAGACGGAGAAGGAGAAACCGTAGGTGAAAGAACTGGTAGTGGGGACTGGGTAGTAGTGTTAGAAAGTGGCGACGGACAAAAAGAAGTGTTAGTGGCACTGGTAGAGGCATCTGGAATTGATAATGGCATTGTTGGAAGAAGGGGAGGAGGTGATGTAGCAACTGTTAACACAGGCGGGCAGGGCGGTGGGGAAGGAGGATTGGTTGGTGTTAACAAAGGAGGCAGCTGGCACATGGAAGGTACAGCAGATGCCTGTGGCACAGGGGTAACAGAGGAACTAAGGGGCTGAGTGTCAACAGAAGTCGAGGCAGATAGACTGGGATCCACATCAGGTTCTGCCTGAGGCTCCAGGGATTTGCCTGGGCTCACGCTCCTGTTCACACTGAGTGTGCTGTCTGTGGCTGCATCCGTTCCATTATACTCGTTCAACAGAACCTTCTGCAACATGCAAGTGGTTGGTTTCTTCTTTTTAACACCACTACAGGTTGGCTGTATGGAATTTTCTTTATATTCCCTAATTTCAGCATCGCTGCAAGGCTTCTTATGCACACTTAAATCTAAAACAGATTCCCAGGGAACCTGATTCTTATTTTTGACGTCAGACCTTTGCTTCACACCACTAGACAAATCCAGTGGCTGCTGGTTGCACACATTGCCAAAAGTTGGAGCTCCTGTCCAGTCTTTTGTTATTTTATAGTCTTCAAAGCAAAGAGGGCTCAAAGTCTCTTTTTCCTCCCTTCCAGTCAAGCTCCAAGCAGGTGAGTTGCTGTGGCTTTCTAACATTGGCATTTTTGAACTCCGAGTATTATCACTCCACACAGTTTTTCCCTCACCTGATTTGACAAAGTCTCGAAGTACTGGACTGTGCTGTGGAGAACTGGGAGGAGAACTGGTCCTTCTTTTAAATCTGCTGGATACTGGAGGCAAAATAGGCGATGATGTAACAGAAGGTCCTAGTTTAGGGATTTCGCTTGACGGAGTTATCTTCTTACTGTCCTGTGCCTGAAGAAGCTGTTTTAATTTTGATGACAAATAAACACCTTTTTCTTTATGAAAAGGTAAGCTTTCTGTTGAAATGTTAAGAGGGAGATTTAAAGAACTAGTAGGAGTTATAGGTTCTGGGTCTGTTTCAGTTTTTATTTTTGGTACAAGAGGAGGGCTGGCAGTTCTTCTCTTTTTAGATTCATTGCTCCCACTGCTAGAGGGTTCCTTGGGAGGTTCACTCACATGTGTTTGTGTAACCTTTATAGCTGGGGAGATTTCCACCGTGACTGGACTGATTATACAGTTCAGTCCATACAAGTCTGCAGAGTTGGACTCCATCTGAATCACATCACAGTTGCTAGTGCTGCTGTTGGACTGAATTTTACCATCAATGTAATAATTTAAATTTTCAGAGATATTGCTGGAAATATCCATAATATAGACATCATCTACTTCACCTTCCTCTTCTATTTCTGTACTTGCTATATATACACTTTGGACTGGTGGGGCCTGCTCTGTCTGAAGCGGTGGCTCTTCAGTAAAGAATCCTTTTCTTCTGACACCTTTGGGAATGAGATGACGCTCATGAACCCTACGCTGATGCCTCCGCATGTTGGTGTGAGTTCCAAAAACCTTTTTGCAGTATTTGCATGGATGCAATTCTTTGGGCTCCTTATTTTCCTCAGCAAAAGCAGAGTTTGACATTTCTTGGGAAACTTTCTCAGAATCAAAGACAACAGAGTCTTGCACAAGACTGGAAACGTTCAGGTCATCTTTAAGACCATCACCCACAATTACCTGGTTATCAGCAACATTAGCCAAGTGTTGTGATGACGTTAGTGTTAAGAATGGTTTCCTTTTTGGCCCTGCCTCGTGGCGTCGCTCATGTCTTCGCCTGTTAATCTGAGTACCAAAGGCTTTCCCACAATATCGACACTTGAAAGCATGGTTAAAAGTAGATATATGGATGTGCATGTGGCGTTCAAGTCCTTGCTTTGTTGTAAACTTCCTCTCACAATGCTGACAGGGAAACATGAATGTTTCCTGAACATCACCATTCGATTCACCCCTGGCTTTTGGAATTTTCACAACAAGTTTTTTCTTTGGAGAGCTTTCTGGAGATTCTTCTGACATACTCTTTTGCTCTTCCATAGAATCTAACTTTTCTTCACATATCAAAGGCATTTCAGCATTTTCTTTAAGCATATTGGTATCTACTAGCTCCTCTTCATCTTCCTCTTCTTCATCATCATCATCCTCCTCCTCCTCTTCCTCATCATCTAAATCATCTGATATACAGTTTATTGCTTCTCCTTGTTTGTCTTCAGTCACCATTTGAGGTTCACTGGTAGGACTGGGGATCATCAGCTTTGGAAGTACATCTTGATTTACCATTTCCTGAATCACAGCTGTTTGTTCCAGGGACAGTACAGCAGAAACAGAAGGTGTTTCATCTTCCTCTTTATGACCTGATACACAAAGTATGAAATGAAAAGCATGAGACATTTTTAACAAATACTTTAAAGCAGGCTACATGTTTCTTCTACCTTTTCCCCTAACACAACATATCCGACATTTATGACCTGACACAATACCACTACTACTCACTGTTGTGATTCAGTACTGAGAATTAAACTGTATTCAGAAATCTCCTTCCTGGAACTTCAGCAAGATGTAGGCAATTGCCTATACTTAACAGGGAATCTTTGGATTGAACGCTGTGTCCGAGAAACCCAAAACAATCTCCGAGTAGTACCAGAACACTTCAAGGCAGTTTTAAGAATGTTTTGAGAAACGTCCAGAAACTTTCACTGACTTTTCTTACAGCAAATAAGTGTCAGTCAAGTACTGCAATATAGATAAAGTACAGAGTAAGCCTGTCAAGTGTATTTTGAATTCTGACATTTTCCCAAAATTATTGAAAATAAAACAATCTGGACTTGTACTGGTATGCATAGTAAGGTGTACCTTGTATCTGGCATAGTCCTTTGCATTCTTCATATTAGATTTTCTACTTACTCACATCCCTGCATGCTAGTTTTACCTATCTGCTGTCAGATACATCCATTGCTGAAGAAAGTAACTTTGCTGCCAATTCACTCAATGTTGCATATGTGGTTATGTGTACAGAGCAAGAAGTTCCTCTCCATTCCCTGGCTGTGGCATAAGACACCTGCAACAGTGGTGCACGTTGTATGCAAGCAGCAGGGACAACAGAGTGAAGGAATGGAAGAGTTACGGGTCAAAAGAAGTTCAAGAGAAGAAGCTTGAAAGAAATGAGTACCTATACAGAGCTTTAAACATTACTGGTTACACAGCAGTGGCAAGTTTTACATTCTTGTAAAACAGACAAAAAAAAATATATATAAAATATCTTCCAGGCATTTTTACATACCTACTACATGAAAAAAGCCAAGCCAGTTTATAAACCACCTCTGCAGATAATCTTTAGGACAAACAGCATGCTTCGTGAGTCACTGCATTAATACCGGTTGTTTGTTTTTCTTTTTTACTCTGACACTGACTTCTGTTAACTAGCAATAAATGACGACTGCATAATTAAGCTCCAAAGACATTATTTTACAATAAGCACTTTTCTCTGCTCTTCTGTTCTAAGGAGTTGGGATTTACATCTAAATTTTACAGAACACTGGCCTTTCCTGTTGTCAAACCTGTATGTTTAATGACATACTTCTGATATCCAAGTTCGTTACTAATAAAAAAGTTTGGGCAAACAATATGAACATGTTCACTTTGCTACACTAACATAACATGCTAACATATTAAACATGACAAAAAGAGTCCTTTGATTCAAAAAGGTAGTTAGAAGGAAAAGAGTAAGACACTTGAGAACTCACCCTCTTTAGAATCCCTCATATCTGCAGAAGCAGAATCCAAATCAGCCTTTTTCTGTTTTGTATCTGCTGCCTTCTTTCCCTTGTTTTTACTTTCCTGAGTCTTTTTCTTTCCTGGGGAGAAAAAACCCAACATTTATTATTTCTGTTCAACAATTTTTATTTTTCATATTTGACAATATGAATTAAAACACCCAGCTTGGGAATATAACACCCTTCTGTAGAAACCCTGTTTTCCTAAGGAATACAACTGACAGATCAGTAAAAAAGGAAAGCATTCAGATAAAGCAGTAAGTCTCTAGACCCCAGAAGAAATATAAAAGTAAAGATAACAAAGAGCTTCTAAAAACCTAGGACTCCAAAACATTTTACTGACTTTCAAAGCATGAATAGACTGTAACAAAAATTTATTGTTTAATGTTAACCAGCTCACATCATACAGTTACCCAATACCTTCGTATGGGTAGTAAATTACTGCATCTCATACAAGTATATGGAAAATATGAAATTTCTTCATATGCTATTAATCCTTAATGCTAATTGGAAGACCTTATGAAGTAGAAACCCATAGAGGCTTCTCTACTTGTATGAACATTCTGAATAATGACTTGAAGAGAGTTACAATAAAAGCAATGAAGTGGTAACATTATGAGAAGACTAAAAGCAGCAGCATCTTGATGAACAAGGCAAAGACAGTAAAACCAAATTAGACGGAACTGGGTAACAGCAAAACACAAAGGTATTTCATTGTGTCCACTGACACAAACAAGTTTGCTAATATTTTCTGTTAGCAAAATTAAGAAGCATGTATTAGCTGCACAGGATGATGAACACAACGAAGATTAGAGCAAAATGGCATTATGCGAAGACCTGATCAGTGACGCAAGATGTAACAACACTGAAAACTTCATTCACCAATGCACTACAAAGTTATGCTGCTAATTTTTTCCTTTAAGATTCAGTCCTATAATATATAGAAACTATAAGGACTGCGCAATAACAAATGAAACTTTAAGGTTTTCCAATTCAATTAATTGCATAGACCAGATTATCTATACAGAATGGTTATTTTACATACAACGCTGTGGTTGAGACACCAGCCTCCTCCGAAACTTCACACTTCTACATACCACCTCTTAGGAACAAGAACTGTCCAGAAGCTGCGATCCAAATTCCTCCTCTGCTTCCTCTGACACAGAAATTGGTATTTTTTTAATGCATTGACCCTTCTCTCTAATCAGGAGTGTGCATCATAACCCTAAATCCATTTCTTATGTAGAAGCACACTGTTCCAACTCACAAGCCTGTCAACAAGTTCCTCTTTTTTTTTCTTGAAAATATTTTTCACATCTTGAACCAAGAAACAGAAATGCCTTTTAAAAAATGTTCCTCTATTCAAACTGGAAATTTCTAAGTATGCATGCCCTCCAATAGAACTGATCAGAGACAGGTCTGCTTTAAAGGGAAATGCTTGTTATTTGAACATTCTAGTTTACCTAAATGATTACCTGTGTTTCCTCTCATGGAGCTCAGATTTCACAGGTTCTCCCCAAATTCCAGTGTGTTTCAGTTTCATGTATGTTATTATCCTTTTTTTATTTTCCTATTCCAATTTAAGAGTTTTTAGTCCAGGAAACTGACAACAATCACTCAGAATGAATTTTTGTCACCTCTGGAAAATATACATGCACCCTTCCTAAACTAAATAGCAATTATCTCACAATATACTCAAATATTGTAACAAACCCTGTGTCTAAACCTGCCATAATGAACCAACATTGGTTTATTTGGCAATACAATATTCATTTGTATTTTATACCAAACACCTGCACATTGTCAGAAGACTTAGAGTATATTTTAGTGTTCACACAGGCATAAGGAGTCTAAGTGCATCTTTACTTGACAGGCTACTGAATGTCCAACTTGAACATAATGTTGTATTCTTAGCGCGTCTAATGTTTGTAATTACAATCAGTAGTACCAAGATCAGAGCATGAAGGATTTCAAACAAGTTTCCAGAGATATCTGCCAAGCCACCTGAAATCCACCTTAAAGCGTACAGTAACACAATCAACAAATAATTCCATTTCTAGGTAAAAGGTCTAAATGTAAAGTTTCAGTACATTCCTAGGGAATCAGATATGCATCACAATACACCTTAGGAGCAATGTAACAGAACGTATTTAATTGCTAGAACTCTTTAGAGCTATCAGTTTTTTTGCAGACTGCTTATCACTTGAAGATCAACATCAGTATCTTGACTTCAACGACAAAATTCTAGGTCCTTCTCACATCTCTATAGGTAAGACTGGAAACAAGAAGGAAAATATTGGTCCACAGGACCCTCTCATCTATGCCAAACTTGGTGACAGCTAGAAACAATACTTCACTAGATGATGCAGCATATGACGGTACTGCAGATGAAGTCACTGGGTAATTCTACGTCTAATTCTACAGCAGCACTGAATCTCAGCATAATGGCAGGTTACTGTGAAAGCCTTCAAACGAAGACCTGATAAATCCTTTCGTATAACAAGATTAGAAATATATTGTGCTCTTTGAAGTGTGAGGTAAAGTATGTAAAAACAACCACAAAAATCACTCGTAAGTGCTAAGGCGTGCACAGGTTTTCCAAAGTGTTGTCCATTTATAGAGTATATAAAATTTGTAGAATCTCAAATCCAATTATAATCTGGGAAATCAGTACAATAGTAGGACTTGCATGCAAAATTGAGTTACTTTAGTCACATATTTCCTTATGCTATTGATGGAAAGAAGATCATTTGCAAGCTCTCCTGCCACACTCCTTAAAAAAACAACGATGCAACCTGCTCACCGATACAGCTGGAAGTGTTTCGAGTTCTTGGCCTTTAAGCATAAATGCATTTGAAGAGAAGATTCATCCAGCAACTACTTGCCCTCACTCAAAACAGCAAGCAAATCTGCTTGCATGCATACATACATAATTTTAGACACGTCAGATCAATTTCTGACACATATCAACTTAGGACGCCAACTGATTTTTGATGTTCTCCTTTCACCAGCTTTAGTCTGTTCATTTCCTCGGTTGCAACTTTCTTTACAAAGGTTGAAGGAATCCACTCTACTCAAGCATGGCGACTGTTCCAGATGCATCCATTTCACGGCCCTGAATGTTCAACAGGAGATGCCCAGGAAGAGAGTAATAGGTAAAGTGATACTTGATTGGTACGCGCTCCCAGCTCTCACAAATCTATGAAAAACGCAACCTACTATTCTGATACAAAGGATATCAATGAGTAGCCCAAGGTCTGTCCTTTAATTTTCTTACAATTTAAGATGTCAACAACTAACAGAAGCCTGTAGGCAGAGGGAAAATGCCTCAGAATACAGAACCTGGTGGAAGCCTGAGTATAAGTACACACGTGCACTTACCATCAGGTTCCTGAAGGGTCCTACATGGCTGCTACGGCCAGCTGGATCCTCCACTTGGTCTAAACAAGAAAGATACAGGAATGAAACACAGGGAAAGTGAAATGGAAACAATGACAAAAGAATAAATGAAGGGCAGGACTCAATATATGTGTATGTGCATTAAAAGAATTGCAAAAGAAAGATGCAAAGGAAAATGAATGAAAGAAACAGATGGAAAGTAGCTAGGTGTCTATAGTGACAAAGATCAAAAGACAATTGCATCAATTTGTCTTGCAACTTCATTTTTAAATATGGTTCCTCTTTCTCCCCTTGCTTTCACTTATGTTGTAGATAGGTCAGCACATGCATTATCTGTCTTTACACCTTTACAGTACCTGTATAATACTTATAATCGGCTGATACCTATGCTGTAGTTCCATTTATTTCAGAGTAATTCAGATGACAACAGAGTAAGAAATTAAAAGAAAGAAATAATCCTTATTTGCCCATACTTCACTTTATTGATCAAACCAAGAGATCTAAGACAACCTAATCTGAGCTCGTTTTTTTGCTGTTAACCAAAATACTAACGGAACTGTAAAATCACTGAGTTCTTTCTGGTGGGGTGGGGTAAGCATACTCAGATGCCAGGAGGGAAGAAGTTAAAATAGTCTTTTCATACACTTGGATGAAATCTATAACTAAATATTGCAAAATTATACAAGATGCTATTACCTCTAATAACCTTTAAGTGCAGCACCAAACATGCTCACAGTTAACATCATAAAGAAGGACACTCACATCTCATCTCAAACACTGTTTTGATCACTTATGAAAAATATGAAAGACAGACATTCACCTCCCCAAAGATCTTGGGTTAATAACAGAAAAGAAGTACTGGTATGAGTTCCCGGTATTCCTTGAAATTTGTAGTCAACAACTAACTACAGCCCAGTACCGTATCTACCCCATATCCCAACTGTGCTGTTGCTTAAAAGTACCACAGATACCTGCCCAAATCTCAAGTCTCCTGGAAAACTGGAGAATCTACCTCAGAGACTGCCTGGAAAGTATTACTAGAGCGCAGATGAGTGCAGGCACCTTGACTGGGAATGGCTAACGGGAAAAGGACAAATCTGCATGCTATACTCCAACAAACAGCAATCACCAGTGTCATGATGCGAACTACAGTGTAGTGATATGAACTTGCTAGTCAAACCCCTTTGGGACTGGTTCAGACTAGTGACAGCTTGCATCAAATCCTACACAGTAGTTGCTGCTATCCTGTACATCAACTTTTGATTTTTCTCCTGTTGAGAAAAAAAAAAAGCCACAACAGTATTTTGGCATTGCAGAGAAAGAAATAAAGATTAAGACTATATACGAGCTAAAAAATCCTTACAGAAAATTCAGAAGACAACTGCATGACCTTTTCCACATTATTCTGGTTAATGAACTGTAAAACACTGATGCAACTTGATTTTTAATTTGAGAAACAGTTTGCTGTACACCAGAATTCCTCTGTTCCTGTATCTAGAATACTGGTATATGTCATGCTTTTCAAAGCAAATTCCTTAAACCTTCAGGCATCTGTAAAAATCGGACTAGCAGTTTGTTCTGGAAGACAGGCTAGAAAAAAACAAATGCCTTTCACACACAAAAAAGCCACATTCAAAATAATAGCATAAATTGCTCCAAAAAAATGAATCCAAA